AGAGCTGACATTATCTTAAAAGACCAGATTGAGGGCGACATTATGGGGTTATCTATAGTCGGATACAACATTTGGAGTCGAGAGAGAATCCGCCCAGATGACCAGTGTGACAGCCGATCGCTGCACCGTGCACTTAGCAAAGTTCTCCAAAAGCGGGGTCACCACCCATCTGACTCATGATGTCAGTCAAGAGTGCGCGCCCGTTGGTGTAGGCTTGTATGCATCGGTCTTTGAAGAGAGAAACACCGCTAACTTCTAAAGCAGTATCCGAATACAAAGCAATATCGCATTACGTGAAAATATGATGTGTTGCTTGCATCTACAGGTACTGTACAAGAGCATACATCTACACCTTAAAAATATATTCATAAACAGTGCATAGCAATAATTTGAGCAAAGAATTGACCACTGCAGCAGTCATATGTAAGCACCTCTTTGAAGCTGCTTTGCACTTTATTTTTCCCCAAATTAAAACCACTAAAGATGTCCCACAGTGGAGACAGCCAAAAAGCATGAAGTATTAACAAATCGTTTGTGAAGCTGCCATTCCTGCTCAGCCATACAGCATGCACAGAGGTCCATTACAAACACAAGTGTGCCTCTCTGTTGACGGTTGGCTTGAGTGCTTGTCACTGCACCATTCCGTTGTACTCGTTCTGAAGATAGGCTTGAAGATGGCCCAATGGTTGTTTGCACGTGAACAATGAACAGAGGTTGCTAGACATGTTCATTCTGGTGCAAAGCTCGAAAAACAACTAAGGAAAACAACAGAAGAGAACCAGACTACTGACAGTTCATTGCCGGCAAAGGCTGAAAATTGAGAAAACTTGCACGCATGCAAAGTGGTGTGAAAGTGTGACATCAGCACACCAATACATAAGCGGTCGATTAAAAAGGGACATCTCAGATTGAGACGATACAACTGATGTACAAATTAATTGTACAGCTAAACCTGGATATAACAAAACTGACAAAGCCCCGAAAAAATTTGCTATAAAGAGGATTTCATTACATGCAGGTTCGGTACGAAAATTGGAAAAATAAACACACAAATTGAACAAAAGGGGAACAGAAAGCAGAGCTCAACCAAAACACTTAATTAGCAGTAAAAAATTGCATTATTGTTGTGATACCAATTATATGGACACTCTTGACAGATTTTTGCTGTCGCTGCCATGTTCCGTAACAAGGCCAAATTGATAACATGCCCCCGTGCGTTGTAACTGTTACGAACAAGCAAAAGCACGCGAGCACTGCTGAAGCAGAAATATCAAATGAGTCGGCCCATCTCAATGGCCTGGAGGGCACACATAACATCCTGCCGCCTGTTAGAGCTGCCATTGAATGCTCAATGTCTTGAACGAGCATGAAAAAGCAAGGGGGGGGGGGGGGGGGGGGGTCAAATTGCAACAGTGAATTTTGATATTGTTACGGATGTGATGGGTTTATTTACAATGAAAAATGTCAGCGCTCTACCGTCACTGCCGAATCACCATCGCTCGAGCGCGTCCGATCTCTCCTTCTTCCTCGCTCTTTCAGTCCGCGTTACATTTCCCTCCGGGCCAGACGAAGCTCACCGAGCGAGTAGAAGCGATCGGTTGTTGTAGGGCTTCAATCGGGCAATGTGCACAATTTGCGTCTTGCGCGAACGCCGGTTCTGAGCTGTCACTCTCGCGACAGCGTAAGTGATGTCACTTAAGCAGTGAGTAATGACAAACGGTCCTGAGTACTTAGAAAGAAACTTCTGGCAAAGTCCCTTTTTTCGAACAGGCGTCCACAGCCAGACCAAATCACCTGTAGCGAAATTCACGGGCGGGTGTTTTGCGTCGTAACGGTCTTTCGCGCGAGCGTGGGCGGAAAGAGTTCGGAGCCGAGCAAGTCGACGAGCTTCTTCGGCGCGACACAAAGTCTGCGCGACACTGGCGTTTTCGTTCGTCGAAAATGGAAGTATGGTGTCAAGGAAACTTTGCGGATGACGAGCATAGAGAAGAAAGAAAGGCGTATAACCTGTGACTTCGTGTTTCGCGGTATTAAAGGCGTATGTAACAAAAGGTAATACGGCATCCCAGTTCTTGTGATCCGCTGCGACGTACATTGAAAGCATGTTGATGATGGTACGATTGGTGCGCTCAGTGAGGCCGTTGGTCTGAGGGTGGTATGGCGTGGAATGGCGATACTGACACCCACAAAGCCGTAGCAACTCTTCGACAACGTCAGCGATAAACTGACGGCCGCGATCACTTATCACCACACGAGGGGCCCCGTGACGAAGTATGATCGAGTGTAGAAGAAACCATGACACATCAGATGATGTGGCTGAAGCAACCGCCATCGTTTCAGTATACCGCGTCAGGTAATCTACGCACACAATAATCCAGCGGCGGCCGGTGGTAGACTTGGAGAAAGGGCCCAGTAAATCTATGCCGACTTTTTCGAATGGTGATGTCGGTGGCTTAACCGGCTGCAGTGGGCCGGCCGATGGTGTGGTAGGTTGTTTGTGGCGTTGGCAGACATCACAACTTGCGACGTAGTGCTTGGTGGTCTTCCAGAGTCGAGGCCAGTAAAAACGTTGTCGGATACGGTGAAGCATCGGGCAAATCCAAGGTGCCCAGACGTGATGTCATCGTGCATGGCTTGGAATACCGCAAGACGCAGGCATTCTGGCACGACGAGTAGTAGTGTGGAACCATGGCTGGAGTAATTCTTGCGATATAGTAGGGCGTCATGAATCACGAATGGCGTGGCGCGTTTAGAGCTACGAGCCACATCAATCATTGGTTTCAGCGAAGGGTCACGCTGTTGTTCGTGACGAAAGACATCCAAATTTGGGAAGTTGGATGAGATTGCAGCCAGGTAGTTGTCAAAATCATCATCATCAGCATCCACAGTTGGAGATGGAAGACGAGATAAGCAGTAGGCATCTGCGTGACATCGACCGCTCTTGTAGGTCACAGAATAATTATATTCTTGAAGCCGTAAGGCCCAGCGAGCCAACCGACCAGCTGGGTGACGTAGTCCGACAAGCCAACAAATACATGATTAAAAACACAGCGCAAACAACGGCAGGAAGAAAGGAAGAGACAGGACAGAGCGCTGTACTGTCTCTTCCTTTCTTCCTGCCGTTGTTTGCGCTGTGTTTTTAATCATGTATTTGAACCAACTCGCCCAAGCTTTAACCTTAGCAAGCCAACAAAGCGAATGATGATCTGTGACGATCTTGAACTGCCGGCCGTACAAATAAGGTCTGAACTTTTGGACGGCGAAAACAACTGCAAGACATTCCAGTTCGGTGACCATATAATTCCTCTCCGCCTCAGTCAAAGTAAGACTTGCATACGCCACGACGTGCTGCCGGCTATCGTGACATTGAACTAGCACGGCACCAACTCCGATACCACTAGCATCTGTATGCAGTTCCGTGAGTGCCTCCGGGTCGAAATGGCGCAAGAGGGGCCTGGAAGTAAGCAAATACTTCAGCTGCTCGAAAGCAGCCTCACACTCAATGGTCCATCGAAATGGAGTGTTTTTGCGGAGCAACTCTGTCAGGGGATGAGCAAGCTGGGCGAAGTCTTTGATAAACCGACGAAAATAAGAACACAGGCCCACGAAGCTACGGAGATCCTTCAAAGACGTCGGTTGCTTGAAGTCTCGGACAGCACTGATTTTGTACGGGTCTGGTCGTATACCGTCCTTGTCAACTAGATATCCAAGCACAAGGGCTTGACGCTCACCAAAATGACACTTCTTTGCGTTTAAAACGAGACCAGCTTGTTTGACGCAGTCTAGAACAACGCTAAGCCGATGGTTGTGTTCGTGGAATGTCTTGCCAAAAATAATTACATCATCGAGATAACACATACATATCTCCCATTTGAGACCACGAAGGATGGAGTCCATGAATCGCTCGAAGGTAGCTGGAGCATTGCATAAGCCAAACGGCATAACGTTGAATTCAAATAATCCATCAGGCGTGACAAAAGCAGTCTTCTCTTTGTCAGACGGATGCATTGGTATTTGCCAGTATCCAGACCTTAGATCGACAGACGAAAAGTAGGCGGCCGAGTGCAGACAATCAACAGCATCGTCGATGCGTGGTAGCGGATACACGTCTTTGGCGATGCCTTTCAACAAATGACCGACTTTGTCTTCGTCAGACATATTTGCGTTGACAATTCCGCAAAGCTTCAACACTTCTTCAATGTAGGTAGTGCACGTCTCGCCGGGCAACTGAGCCCTACGTGACAGCGTTTGCTCAGCTTTCTTTTTCATGGAACTCGTGTCCCCAAAGCAGGCCTTCAGTTCCTTAACAAATATATCCCAAGTGGGGAGGACATGTTCATGGTTCTCAAACCAAAGCAAGGCTGTCCCGGCAAGGAAGAATACTACGTTCACGAGCTTCGCCGGTGCGCCCCATTCGTAGTAGCGGCTCACTCTCTCGAAGTGTTTTAGCCAAGCGTCCACGTCTTCGTCAGTTTTACCTGAGAAAATTCGTGGCTCAGGTGCCCAGTAGTCTGGTTGTCGAGGTCGACGGCCACCTTGTGCCGTGTCGGTGGCACTGGTGGATGCAGCAGCGTAGGACGTCGATGGGATTGCTGTGTCGTCGTTCATGCTGATGTTGTCCGGAGGTAGGCCAGCTAAGCGTCTGCTTCTTCGAAGAACTTCTGCTGCGGGGTCCAGGATGGCAAGTTACCCAGCACCGCTCCACCAAAGCTGTTACAGATGTGATGGGTTTATTTACAATGAAAAATGTCAGCGCTCTACCGTCACTGCCGAATCACCATCGCTCGAGGGCGTCCGATCTCTTCTTCTTCCTCGCTCTTTCAATCCGCGTTACAATATTAAGGACGCGGTCATGGTCGCTGGTGCACATGCTATCGTGACAAGCATCTGCTTTCAAAGCGAAGAGACTGAAAAGAGCACTTCTCCCTCGAGCGGCCGTGTTTGCTTACAGCAGCGTTTTGTAGGAGTTGAGCAGTATTGGATCCAAAAGAGTTGGCTGCCTTACTTCATATAACATTACAACTAGTTCCTGTTGCATCGATTGCATTGTATTCATTGTGCCATCATGTTGCCAGAGCCCATCGGCTAATCGTGAAGGCTACAGTCTCGCAACTCACAGCGTGGTGCAAGACCGAAAAGCGTGGACAAGTAAACCTCCGAATATTCAAAGTTCCTATCAGCGCCTAATCCGACATCTCCTTGGTAGTAACAATACGTTTGTTGATATTAACAATAAAAGAAAATAAAACAGATGCTGAACGTCGTCGGTGGCCACTTCATGTGCGCGAAGTGATACCATGCACGTGCGCACAGCGTCGAAAACGAGCGAACGACACAGATACCGCCAAAAACTATTCTGTAAAGCGCTCTCCATATGCAGTGTGGCCCCACATATGTGACGCTAACTAAAAGTGTAACAATGCAAAGTGGCATCACCTGTGTCACTATTTAAAGTGCAGTTCGAAGACTTTTGCAGCATTCCAAGAGTGGTGCTGTCAACGCAAATGTTTTTTGTTTGTTGGTTGGTTTGGGGGGAGAGGGAAGGCACATTTGCGCATGTGCCCGTGGCGGCAAGAACAGTGGCAACGCCGGCTCGAGGGGCGAGGCCTGCTTGCCCTTCTCGCGCACACCCGCGCGCACTATAACAAGTATTTGTTTTCGTCTAGGAGTCGCCCAGGCCACAAGCGCGCCGCCGCCTCACGCTTCCTTGGTGGGGCTACTGCGGATGGTGCATGCTCGTGCTAAAATGAGAAAATTAGGGGCGAAAGTCTTAAGTTGTTAATGGCGAAAATTCATTATATCAAGGGTGTTACCCACTACCACTTTTTTAAACAGAAGTTGCTAATACATGTGCTTCTATAGAGTGACGATGACAAATAAAAAAACTGTTGCATCGAGGAATTCGTTATATGGAGGTTCGTTATAGGCAGGTTTAACTGTATTGTCTTTTTCCATATCTTTAGCTTTGCAACAAAATTACCGTGTTTGGCAACCCCAACTTGTCCAAGAACAAGTTTTTCTCAAGTCCCAGGTAGAGGCTTTTGCCTAGATGTGCACCTTGTCTTCTCCCTTGAACAAACATGGCCAAGAGTTTTGTCACAGCACTTAAATACCAACTATCTCAACTTTGTGCTTTTCTGTGAAAACACAAAGCCAGCACCGATACTGCCGTGCAGTTACTCATCCACCACAGCACCACATAGGAGGAAACGTTGTGGAGTTCTAAAGTTGAATTTGACTGTGAAGTTTTCTTCTTCCTACAACAGACACAGCCTGGTTTTCTGTTATAGCGCACACACACACAAGGTCAGCACGGACACTGTTGTGCAGCTTGCTGTCCACAGCACCACCTAGGAGAGCCTCTGGACTGCAAGTGGCAACACCAAAAGAGTTAATGGGTGCCACAGGCCAGCAGCTGCACCAGTTTCTTGCGAATCACAGCTGTCAGTGCGTGTGAGCTCGAACGACCACCACGGCCAGGGAAGGCCCGGGACGCATGCAGGGGGACTCTCGGCAAACTGCACACGCTGCGCCAACACGATGATGCAGTAGTGCCGCGGGCTAGACACAGCACTTGCCACTAGCAGGCGTGTGCCGTTTTCCTCCCAGCTGCCATGGCACCTGAATCCTGCGGGTCGACAACAGCAGAACTAATTTCACCCTTTGGCACACAAGCACCTTTTACGGCTGAACTCCTCTATGAGAGACATGTGCTGGGCAAAAATTGTGCACTCTTATGAGGTGTCTAATAAGCAGGGTACCACATATGCGTTTTGTGAACCACCATTCGAATGTAGGCACACTGGTGTCTCTTATACCCCTTCTTCTCTTACATCAGCGGCTCTGATAAAGGGTTCAACTACACCTGCTGATGCTTATACCATTTTCGGTGCATAAAAAATTAGGTGACCTTTAAGCTTCGCCTTTACAAGTTGAACGCCATAGTGTCACTGTGCCTAGTGCATGCTTCAACCACTCAACATACTTTTTATTATATGATGTTACTTAAAAAGTTTAAATTCGGGATTACTACAATGTTGAAAGTGGCTTGCATCAGTGAAGCTTTCTTAGAGGCTTGCATCAGTGAAGCTTTCTTATATGGCTACATTGCTTGCAGTGGGTAGAATGCTTGAAAGCACTGGCAATTATGTGTGCAAGATGTTTTCAAACTTGCTATGCATCTTCTACATGGTCTTAAGCGCGGGCGTTTTTTTTCTTCTTTGTTTTGTTTTGCATTCGCCACAGCAGACGTGGTTCTTTCCCGCTCGCCCCGGCTGATGCGGTTCAAACTTTGCGTTTTTTTTAAAGAAGATGCAACTATGTGGGTGCCTTTTGTACTGGGTGGCTAGCTTTAGACCACACATCACTATGATAATAACATGCTCTGACGACCGATCACTTGTACCACACAATATTACTGCAATATTATATGTTGCATTATAAAGTTTGTATACAGAACACATTTGATTGTGAAGCTTGCAAGTTCTTTGCACTACATTTCCAACCAGAGGAAGTTATTTTCACTGTATTTCCAAGCAGACGCGTGGCTGTGTGGTGGAACATCATCAGCTTGCCATGCAAATGACACAGGTTTAATTCTCACTTGGACCAGGAAATATTTATTAAATGCGAAGCATTTCTTTGCGCACTGCAGGCACTATGAGCGTCTGCCTGTGTGTCTAGCCGCCAAGGCCTGGGTACTTCAGTGATCACCCTTTTAACTTGGAGTAAACCGATATCAGTAGAGGGTAAGATGATTTGACGAATACATCTCGCTAGTAGTGACATGAATAATTTCACAATACCATCGTATATGTCGTCAAACACTTTCGGTCAGGCAGTGGCACATACCAGTTCCCCTGTTATGTGGGTATGTGCCACAGGTGCTTTAACACTTTATATCTACTCAGGAACAACGAGAACACAAATGGGTAATTTTAACGCATGAGCATTACGAAAAAGCCGACACCAGCAGCATCGACCCAATGAAGAATAAAATCGACAGATCACACGTGACTTGGGAATCGATGTTATACAAAGCATGCACTTTGAAGGTGACTATGCTGTAATCTTCTTATTGAGCAAAACATTATGAAGTGGCTCTATAGATATGTACAATTGCACGTACAGACATATGTTAAACAACCACATATGTTTTATATAACCTGTTGTTTAAGTTGCACAACAACGCCAAAAGCAACATAAGTATTAGCAACACCAAAGCAGCAAGTTGACATCAAGCACTGGTGCTCACAAGCAAGCCCTCGAAACTGCTACATGAATCAACTTCATTGGATGGCACCTAACTACAACTGACGTTAACCCGACGTAATGGCTGCATCACAGGAATATATGTATTATGTTTAAAAAATTGGATAGTGAGTCCTACAACCACAACTGACAATTCACGAACATTAGTAGGATCAATTTGAAAAGTAGTTCATGGGACCTGGGAAGGCTCTGTGGTAGAATAATTGATTGCCAAGCAAAAATCTGGTGCTCGAATGATCTTTCACTGTATCTACACCAAGTCATTAAAGAAGAAGCGGACGTCGACAATTATGAGAAAAGAGGAAGCACTTGAAGCTTCACCTGGGCTCCTCTATGTTGTTTTTGTGGTCATCAAATTGTGGAATAACCTGCCCTATACACTAAAATCATCATCATCTTTTCATGCATTCAAACGTGATCTTAAAAACTTCATCTTGCATAACTAGGTTGACAACGATGATTACTAAACGATTCTTGGTATCCGGGCATGAAATGGGAAAGTCTTTGCAAATTTACGTTATTGCTTTTTGGCGTGATTATGTTTTACTTATATAATCTTATTAATATTGTTCTTGTGTCACATTCTGACTGCCTGTTTTGTTTACTTGATGTTATTTTATGTAAGTTCACTGTTTATTTTTCTTTGTGTTGCGTATTTTACGTGCTGTTTTAATGAATCATTTTATTGTTATATTTAACCGAGGGTCCCCCTGCAGTCGCTTGACTTTGGGACCCTCGTCTGCATACTACACTCTACGAATTTTGTATTTTGAATGATTGAATAAACTGAACTGAACTGAACTGAACGGACTGGACCGCCTACAGGAATGAGCTTGATAATGATTCGACTATCGAAGACATTGAAGCCTGGTTAAACAGTATTGTAAGTGTTGCTGACGGACATACCAAAACGATACACTTGAACAAGGACAATCCGGCAGTCGATAATCATCTCCTTCACCTATGGGAAGCTCGAAAATCGCTTATTAAACGATGGCAACGGCAAAAGCTCAACCGCAAGCTGAAGCGCCGCATCGCCGTACTCACTAGACAGGCACAGGAGTACGCCGAAAACCTTGCGAGCCAGAACTGGCGGTCCTTCTGCGACAAACTTCAAGGGACATTGAGCACAAAGAAGACTTGGCGCATTCTTCGAGCCCTGATTGACGACACCCACACCAAAACTAACCAAAAAAATACAATTAAGCGGCTCATACACTACTATGAGGGCACAGAGCACCAGTTACTCCAAGAACTTCAAGCAAAACTTTGTGGCTCGGTTAACCAGCAAGCTACCTCCATCAACAATTCGACGCCCAGGGAGTACCGAGGAGCACCGAACGAAGCACTAGACCAGCCTTTCACGCTGGCAGAGCTACACGCGGCCCTTGCTAAGCTTACGCGCAACACAATCCCGGGAAAAGACGGAGTGACCAATAAGCACCTACGACAGCTACCGCCCCGGGCGTTGACGGCGCTCCTTCGGCACTATAACGACTGCTGGAGGAAGGGCGAGCTACCACAAGCCTGGAAGCACTCAGAGGTGACCATGGTACCCAAGCCAAACAAGCCAATCTCGATTGCGAATCTTCGTCCCATTTTCCTTACATCTTGCGCTGGGAAACTCTTTGAGCACATGGTAAACGAGCGGCTCACCACACATCTCGAAGACAATGGTCACTATCCGAACACCATGTTCGGCTTCCGCCAAATGCTCAGCACACAAGACGTCCTCTTGCAGATAAAGGAAGATATTCTTCTCCGCTTGAGCAAGCACAGTAAGTCATCTGTTCTAGCTTTGAACGTAAAGGGCGCATTTGACAATGTGAGCCACGAAACCATTCTGCGTAGCCTGGAAGATGTCGGCTGCAGTGCCAAGACATACGCCTATATGCTGGCTTTCCTCACCAACCGCACTGCCACTGTAGGGATTGCCAATATAAGGAGCGAGCTTTTTCAACTCCCTAACAAAGGCACGCCGCAGGGCTCAGTGATATCACCAGTGCTTTTCAACTTGGCCCTCCTTAAGCTCCCACGTCTCTTGGGCGCTGTCCCTGGGATACATCACGCGTTATACGCCGATGATATCACTATGTGTACAAGAGGTTCAAGCACGGGTGAACAGGAGGACCGACTTCAAGAGGCGGTTAACATCACTGAAGGATATCTCAAGACCTGCGGCCTCCAATGTGCTCCGGAAAAGTCGGAACTGTTAGTACTTGCGGCACGCACCCGGGGTAGACCACCAAGCTACGACACTCCTGACCCACAAGTCTTTCTACAGGGAGTCCAAATACCACAAGTTGACACGCTTTGAGTCCTTGGACTACACATACATAAAGATGGGTCTGGCTCCGCTGCCCTACCCCGGCTACAGAACACTGTGACACAGCTCACCCACCTAATCCGAAGGATGGCTAATCGCCGCAGTGGCTTCAAAGAGCACGACACCCTAAAAATGGTACAAGCTCTCCTTTACAGCCGCATAACGTACGGAACTCCCTACCTCAACCTGAAGACAGCGGAGAAACAAAAACTTAATCTGCTGATACGAAAAGCTACAAAGCTTGCCCTAGGACTGCCGCCAGCCGCCTCCACTGACCGACTGCTTCGCATGGGAGTTCATAATACGTGGGAAGAACTCACCGAAGCACACCTCATCAACCAGGTTGAGAGACTCAAGCTGTCACTCACAGGGCAAGCCGTGCTTCGACGCACAGGATACCAGACCACTCTAGAACCCAACGAAGAACGCAAAGGCAAAATACCGTCACAGCTGCGAGAAAGCCTTGAAATTCAGCAGATCCCTCGGAACATGCATCCTCAACATCACCGAGAAAGGCGGCTCGCCAGGGTTAACATGATCCGGAAAAAACATGGCAATGACCCGCAGGCGCGATACGTGGACGCAGCCAAATATCCGAGACGTAATGCCTTCGCGATTACCGTCGTAGATTACAAGGGCGGGGTACTGGCATCGGCGACTATCCTCGCCAAACGTGCGGAAACAGCTGAAGAGGCTGCTATAGCACTCGCCACCCAGACGAGTGAGGATCCCATCGTGGTCTTTACCGACTCACAAACAGCGGCACGGAACTACCTGAAAGGCAGGGTCTCCACGGTGGCATTTAGGCTACTAAAGCGCATGGACAATCCTCCTCCCTACACATGCATCGTGTGGATTCCGGGGCATCAAGGTCTCGAGGGAAATGAAGCGGCACACACCGCAGCCCGCGAATGCGTCAACCGAGCATTCCCATACAAGATCCGAGGCACCTCCCACTCAACAACAGAATCAGAGACAAGAGAAGCCATACCACTAACGTACCATGCATTACTGCAACATTATCGGCTCGA